AGGAGACATTTACAACTTAGACAGACCAAAGAGATGTAGGATGGATACAGATACTAGCTGAGGAACATTCTAAGGGCAGCTCCTCGGGAAGACAAAACATACCTGGTCTCCTGAATCCACTGATGAAAAGCATTTGCGTGCTGAGCAAATTCCTGCCGCAATTTGTCATTTTCTTCCTGCCTTCTCTGCTCCTTCTGCAGCTCCAGTTCACGTTCCTGGGCAACCAACAAAAACAGGTTTTGTGTTTTTGTTACAGGATGAGGACAATCCCATTATTTCTCTGTTTGAAACTAAGAGCTGCAGAGTTCTGAAGCTCAACACAAGACTGAGTGCTCAGTGTCCTGGATATCTAGACAAATGATCTAAGATGACAACATAGAACATCCCTAATGAAGCCTGGAGAACTGGAATGGAAGCAGCAGTTACTTTGCTGCATGACACATGAAACATGTCTGAGTTAGGATGAGAAGGGACATATGCTTTGTCTTTTGAAAGACTGCAAATGGAAAACCAGGAAAACAAGTTTATGGCTAATGACATTTTTTTTTTGCTCCCAAGATTTTGTGGTATTTGCATCTCTGCTACAGCAACAAACTCTTGTTCTAGTTCGCTTGCAGGATGAATCCAGCAAGGAGCTGAACAGTCAAACTAGGCTCTCTCTGGGTGACTCACCTTGATAATTTTCTGCAGATTCCTCCAGGTTTCCTCAAGAGCCTCCATGGTAAACCAAGTGTAGGGGTTGGAGGCCACACGGAAGCTTTTGATCTGGCGATCCAGCTCTGCCAGCTGGTTGAAATCAGCCTGGGCAGAACTGAGTGAAGAACGAAAAGCGTCGTGAGCTTCTCGCAGGGCTTTGATCTCCTCCAGCGAGTTGCAGCGCACGGGATCCGTCAGGTCCTCCTCAGCATTCTCAAACCAGCTGTTGAAGGCAGATGCCTTCTTTGCAAACGTCAGGAACAGATCCTCAACCTGGGAAAGAGAAAACAATCCAAGTGCCCAGTTACGCAAAAATGCAGATATTCCACAGGAGCTGATCTGGAATTAACAGGCACCACTGGTCATTTGCCTTTATTACTTATTTCTTGCAAGCATCTCAAGAATTCTTAAGACAACTCTCCAGATTCTCCATCATAATTAGCTGCAAAACTTGGAAGTGCTGTATGTATTATTCAAAGAGAACAATTAGATTTTTGCAGACCCTATGGTTTGGTCACTCACCTTTCTGAAATGCTCCTGAGCCTCCAAGAGCTTCTTTTTCCTGGCAGCAGAGTTGGCAAGCAGCTGATTCCAGCGCTTCATCAAGGAAGCGTGTCGAGCCTCAATGGCCCTGGACTGGATATGTTTGGCTGCAAGGAGCTGGTCTTTCAGAGCAGTGATGTTTGCAATTCCCTCTTGCTGGAAAGCCTGAAGTCCAGCATCAAAAGTTTCCTAAAGTATTAAAAGAATTAAGAAATATTTTAGACTGTATTTTTATTTAACCATTCCAATATACCCTGCATGTATTTCAAATATAAAAAGCTAGATTCTTGTGTGTTCACCTGTTCTCTCCACCACTCATGGGTGAAAGCAGCATTATCACTAACCTGTTTGGTGAGCAGTGTTTGCACAGAAGACAGGTCACGTCCATAATCATCTGTCTTCAGACTGTTTTCCTTCTCACCTGAAAAATGAAAACAAATTCAGTAAAAATGTCAGTCTCTATCTCCAAGGCTCCCTCTATTCCAAATTAGGTCATTCCAAAGCATAAATCAGGTTTATCAGTGCTGATTATTTTGTGTTTAGGTCTGCTGGTTACAACAGCAAGTGAGAAGCTATTTGAGATCTGTTGTAATGAAGGAGCATCTCAGCTTCTCTGTGGCAGGGTCCTGTGCGCCACTGTAGAACGTACCTATCCAGGACTCCACTACATCTGCCTTCCAGTTGAACTGGAGGAAGGCAGAGTTCTCATCCAGTTTGGCTTTCCTCTGAGCTGCTGCTTTCTCCAGATCTGACACCTTGCCTTTCAGGCCCTTCATCTTTGCAGTAATGCTCTCCACGTGGTGATTGTTCTATGTGACAGAAGAAAAAAGCATACCAGATGATTTTAAGTCTTCCAAGACATCCCAGAAGTTCGTGGCAGAGCAAGGACTTTGAAAGATTTTGTTTTCCATGTAAAACCACTGCCCAAGTAATAGCTTTGAAAGCTATTGGTGTTAACACCAACAGCTCATTCAGCAGAAAAAAAAAATTAAGAGTTCCTTTCAAACAGACAACAAATCAGTCCTCAGAGAAGGGGAATTTACTTTGACATGAAAATGTCCTGGAGTCGTGGGACTTTTTTTCTACCCAGTTTCTGCTCACCTTTTTGATAAGATCCTCCCCATTAGCACAAACATCATTCACTCTGTCTTTGTGCACAGTGAAATCAGTCTCAAATGCTTCATGCTTCTTCAGCAGGCCCTGCAGGCACAAGAGACAGTAAATTGCAAGAATAATTTCTCACCAGTAATTAAAGAAAATTAAAGAATTGACTGTTATAGATCAGCTAGCATGATTATTTTTCTGACAAAAACTATTTCTCTTAGCTGGTTGGCACAACCTGCTATTTCTGTGGATAAAAGGAGACCAATATTCACTTCCAGTGTAACTTCAGCTATTTGATTCAACCAGGACTGCCCATCAGAGGGCCAAGGGATGCAAAGCAACACCAAATTTCAAGTCTTTTCTATAGGAAATAATGTATTTAGGATGTTTTTATAAAATCACTTCATGTTTTTTACAATATAAGCCTTCAAAAGGAACCAATGATAATCTCTAAATTGGAAAGACAGTTCAAGAAAAGGTTAATTAAGCTCTAACCAACAATAAGGAGACAAGTTTCTCCATACCTGGATAGCAGCAAGGGTGTCCCCATAATCCTCACTGGCTACCAGTGTCATCTTCTCATTGATCCAGGCTTCTTCTTCCTCAACATTTGCCACAAACTGCTGGTACTCCAGAGACTCCTCCAGACGCTGCCCCCTGTATGGGAAAAGAAAGAGAAATCAGGCCCAGTGTTGCTTTATGGCTCTTGGATATAAGCTGTAACAACAAACTGCAGCAGCAGAAAGCAAGAATGTACAGACTGAGCCCTAAAGACACAATAATTCACACTCCACTTCTCCAGCAGCAGCAAACACTCTCTACAGCTCAAGTAATTCACTAGAACACAAATCCTGCAGCTACTGAAGGTCTGAAATGAATAATTTTCTCCCAACAGTTTCTATTCAGAAAAACATCCTGGTAGTGGATAAGACCAGGTCATTTCAGGTATGTGGTTTCCAACTGGTGCAATAAAAGGCTAAACACAGCCAAAAAAAATATATTAAGTGTTTCTACTGAGGAATAGTATCACTAAAACTCTTATCCATGGTCTCCCAGAGCCTGTCATCATTGATGTGATATTACATCACACTACTAATAACCCAAACCCTAAAATCCTGAAACTCAGTAAATCTGGTCATTACGAGTCTATGTAACTGTTTTAATTAATATTGGATCTTACAGAACCATGTCTCACACACCTAGCAGCTGCCAGCTGTTTTAACTCTTTCCAGTGATCCACAAACTGAGCCAGTCTTTGCTGTATCTCCTCCTTTCCAATTGTGTTATCATCTGAAAGCTTCTTACCAGTGTCCAGAACACCCTGCAAAGCAGAGAAACACAGTTGGTGGCAAAGCACATGCATTTATGTGCCCTATTTGGATTCCAACAAACCTATTACTGGTTCCCATATTTGTCACCAACAAGGAAGATGTTGGTTACAGAGAAATCTATCAGGGAGAGGTACCTGGATGGCAGGTTCATGGGCAGCTAATTCTGCTTCTAAGCGCTTGTGCTTTTTCCTGAGGTTCTGCACACCTGTGAGGTCTCTGCCATAATCCTCTGAGCTAACCAACAGCTTCTTCTCTCTAAATCCAAGAGAGAATAGAGAAAGAGAGGTTGAAGATTATTTTTACAGGTCAAACCTGACAAAAGTAAAATAAAATTACAGATCAGGAATTGCTCTGCACAGCACAAAAAACTTAGATGAAAGAAACTCTGTACATGTCATCAGCAAACAGCAGCTCCTGGCAGCACATTCAAGGTTATGTGTGGGGGAAAGAAAGAACAAAAGCAGCAGAGGACCTATAATTTCTCTCTGAAGGACAGAGTTTATCTGTCCTGTTTTCTTGCTAAGAAGACAGATCTTTCATATAGTTACCTGCTGGTGTCCAACTTAATTTTATTTTACAAGCATGAAAAAAAAAAAGGGCTCCAGTTTGAATGTCAGGGTCACTTCCCTCCTCCCAGATACTGACACCAGTATGGAAAGAGCATTTGATTAATTAGTACAGCTGGTTAGAACAAAAAAAAAGGTACTTAAAACTGAGAAAGCAAGGTTTGCATTTTTTGCCAGGAGCTTTCCCAGGAAGATTAGAGTCAAATTTCAATTATCTGGTCCAGGTCTGAGCAGCATTTCCTTTTCCCAATACAGAACCTTCCTCCTTGGATTTGATCAAAGGAAACCATAGATAAGCAGCCTCTCCCTGACTTGTGCTGAAGCCATTTTGAATATTCCTCAAGGAGGGAGAGAAGGGAAGTTCTTGTAGAGACACATCCTTGTGGAAAAGGTATAAAACCACAGAACAGGCTAGGAATCATAGAATCATTAAGGTGGAAGGGACCTTAAAGATCATCAAGTTCCAACTCCTTTGCCACAAGCAGGGAATGTTGTTAGCATTCTGGGAGTCAGCACATGCCCCCCCAGCAGAGCCTAGAACTTTCAAATACACACTTGATCCAGGATTCCTCATCATCCATGTCCCGGAAGAACTGGTGCAGGCGGTGGGACTCGTTCAGCTTTGCCCGGCGCGCGGCTGCCATGCTCTTGATCCTCTGGAAACGGCCGTTGATGGTCTCACGTTTGTCCTTGACTTGGGATGTATCAAAAGCACTGCTGGTCATCAAACTGTCAGCCTGGCTGTTCAGGTCCTTCAGACGATCCTGGAAACATGTTTGGGAGGGGGAAAAAAGTGTGTGAATTGCTTGGATCTCATCTCTGCATTTATTATGTCAGTGTAAAAATCCTTGTCTGGCTGCTTTGCAGAGTCACCAGGTTTTATTACAAAAACATGTTTCAACAAGTCTGGGACTGCAGCACGTGCTGAAATGGTATCTGTGGATTTGCTGATTATTGTGATTTATCTTCCCAAACTGAAAGAGAAAGCAATACCTCATGAGCAGATATATCAGCTTCCAGTAACTGGTGTTTCTTCAGAAGGTTATTAACTGATGCCAAGTCCTTCCCATAATCTTCAGATGCCAACAAAGCCTCCACCTGGGGGTAGGGAAGGGAAAAGGGGATGGAGAACAAGTTGTATTTTCATAAAACCCTTGAAATTATACTTTCTTTAAAAGAACTGTGCAAATCAATTATCTTCTCAATTTTCTACAGTGAGGATAAACCTTTCCCTCACCACCCATTTAATGCTTAACAGATTCTATGCAAAATATGATGCTGCTGCTCACATTATTGTTTATAAATAACATAAAAACATCCACAAGTTTTTCAGGAATAATGAAGATTTTAAAAAAAGTAAATCCAGACTTGCTCAAAGGTGGACTGTGCTCCACAAAATCTTACATGAGAAAAGGGAATTAAAAGAAAAAAAAGAAAAAAAAAAAAAAAAAAAATGGGGCTTGCAAGTAAACAATCCCCAATCCCCAGTTACCTCTGAAAGCCAGAAATCAAAGTCCTTGATTCCAGTATTGAAATTCTGTTGCTTATTGGCTTCTTTCAGCTTCTGACTCTTCTCTGCTGATTTCTGTACCAGGAATTGCCACTGGTCAGCCAGGGCAGCCAGACGTGCCTGTTATGAAATGGAAAAGATCAAAGCTACAAACTGAAAACATGAGTTCTGATAAATGCAAAACTAGAATATGGTGCAAGTTTGGCTGCTGATTCCAGAGATGCAAAATACACAGTCACTATTTCATGCTGCCCAGCATTAACCCAGTTCAACTTTTCCATCCCAATCATGGGACCAGAAAACTTCTCACCCTCGAGAACAAAACAGAATGTTTACCCTGATTTCTACTGCGTAGTTACAATAGAAAAGCTGCTATAAAACAAGACTTGAGGGATACTCTTCTCCCCCCAGTTATCCAAACACTTTAAGCAAATCTGCTCAGGCTTGCTGCTCCTACCTTCACAGCATCCTCACTGCCAGCACAGGCTCCTCTTTCAATCAGCGAGTTCCCCATGTCGATGACCCCGCGGATCCGGTCTGCGTTGGCGTGGAGCTCAGCTTCAAAGGCCTGGTGCTTCTGGTGCTTGCTCTGAACACAACAAACCCCAACCTGTTACAGACTGGACAAAAGGCTCCTGAATTGTTCTCATGAGCAGAGACAGCACAAGAGTTGTTGGCATGGGGAGGTTTGTATATAGCCTGATCTAACAGCTTGCTCTCACTGTCAGAATACTTTGCGCTTACTCAAACAGTAACTCTGAGCAACCCTCAAGCTTTGGCCAAGCAGAACTGGCAGTGAGCTGACAGATGTAGCTCAGGCAACACCTTCTGCATGTTACAGGTGCTCATGCAATGTTCCTTGCATTAAGGTCAGCTGTTACTCAGGTAAAGTTTTCTCATTTCCAATGCCATCAACTTTGAAAAGCAGCAGCACAGCAGATCATCCTTTCTAATGCTACAGGAACTTCACAAATTTCTATTTCCCTTTCTAATGAGGAGAAATCACTACTACAGATTCTGCTTTCTACACAATTTTAGTATTAGTTGAAGTCACACATGGCCACATTATATATTAAAGAATTAACAAACCTCTATAGAAATAATTGGGTTTTTACAAATAATTTCTCTACTGAGTTGAAAGCACCATGAGAACAACAGGAGCCTTGGCGTAGGAGGGAGTTTGAAGTTCTCTTTCATATATACACCATCCATCCACCCACCAGGGAGATAACAATAGCACAAAAATGACAAGACAGAATTTACAAGTATTAACTGGAAATGCTAGTGACATTGGACATAGGGATACAATGCCCTGAGAGAATGGAATGAAAGGAAATGTTAGGTTAAAAATAAAAGATGGAAAATACTGCAGTGCTGGCATGAGAAATTCTGCATGAACTGCTTATCCTGAATGCTGGGATTATAAACTTATCCTTCAAAGATCGATTTACCAACATGTACAAATCAATTAAAATGGAATTGCCAATTGCATATCTCCATATAATGACCATTACAACAAATCCCAGACAAACCTTTTTTTCATTTAATATAAAATTCAAATTTCTTCAACTAAAAAAACCAAAAATTAAAAATTTAATGTACCACAGCCTAAAGTGACAAACAACAAATCTTTTCATTCTTACTCTAGCTAGCTTCCCCTTCCTTTGTTCTGTCTTCTCTTTCCATATATCCTCATTTTACTCCACTTCTTGGGAGTCTTAGAAGTCCTGCCAGCTTTCCATCTGCTACGTATTTTTTCCTGGAGTGCTCCTTCTACATTGCTCCCTCCTCTGCTGCAAGAACTGAGCCATCTAGCTCTGTCATTTTATTGAATCCTCCATCTCCAGCATTTGGTTCCACAAGCACAAGCTCACAGAGCTGCCATCCTCTCATGTGTTCAATCCTCACTGCTGAAGATCTGCACAGGAGGATGACAGGCCCAATTGCCAAACCCCATTTTTTCCAAAGAAACCCTTTTTTTTCCCCATTGACTAACTCCTAAAAAACCCCAGAACCACATCACTAACGCACCACAAATCAAACAGATCATGCAGAACACCTGCAAAATTAATAGGTAAGAATAAATGATGCTGGATAGGCATGAACAAAAAAAGCCACACCCATAACGTGAAGATCAACAGCTGTACCTGGATGTAGGTCAAGAACTAATAGAAAACAAAGAGATTGCATGAGCTGATGGATGGAGCCACAGACTGCAACCAGACCTTGTGCTCACACAGAAGCTATACAAAGGAAACAAATTTACATACCAGGGCTAGTCCAAACTACTTACCAGCAGTTTGGAAAGCTATAAAACAGATTGAGAGAAGTAGTTCAGTGCATTCATACTACTTCATAAACCAGTATTAAAACATAAGAGGTAACTTTAATTCATTATTTCTTAATATTGAAAAATAAATGAGACTTCACATTTTAGAATATAAGACAGAGATGTGACCCAAGAATTCCATATCCTTATTATCTAAATGCTGGGAGAAGGACAGAATAGCTACTCAGAGGTTTCTTCAGGAAACTTGGTGCTGCAGATTCCACATCTCTTATTAATTATATGCATCAATAATTACCAAGTGAGTTCTATTTTGGGTCTCCTTTCATGCATAATGTAACTTCCATTTTCTCCTTGTTAAAAGGCAGAACATGTCCAACATCATATATTATTCTGTTATCACCGAACAAGAATTCCTGAGCATGTTTTTTCAAACCAGAGTTTGAAAAGTTTAAAATTTGGAGTTTTCATCTGAGAATCATATTCACCTGGATATTTGTGGGATCCTTGTATGACTCATCACTTGCAGTCTGGAGCTTTTCACTGATCCAAGCTTCTATTTCATCCACATCCCGACTGAACTGCTGGAGTGTCTGAGACTCTCCCAGCTTTGATCTCTTTTCAATCATTTGAGCTTTCAGCCGAAGCCACCTGCATGCAATTCAGGACCTGTTGAATGAAAAGCTGGGACAGCAGACACTTTCCCTCTTAACAGCTACAGGATGTTGCCAGAGAGCATTTCCTTTTCAGCCAGTGTCTGCATCCCATCTCAGGGCAAAACTCACCTATCCAGAACCTCATTCCTTCTGGTTGCAATGACTCCTTTGGCATAATGATCAGCAGAGATCAACTGGTCAGCAAAAGACTGTAAGACAGCAATTTTCTCTTCCTGTTAAAAACAGAAGTCATAAATTAGGACTGTGCCTCCTTAAAGTCAAATGATGAGCAGGGCCTGGAATGGAGAAAGACTTTTTTTCTTCTTTAAATAAACATGATTGTAAATGTTACTCTACAAAGGAAGTCCATCTTCTACAGGACTGGAGAGTTCAATTTCAGAACATCTTTCACCTGTGGCATGTAGGAAAAAAAATATATTTTGGACTGTAAGCTCCAGCACTATGATCTCAATAAAAGCAGGTGGCTTTCTGTGACAAGAAACTGAAAAGACACCTTTTCCTGTTGTAAGAAACAAAGCAAAAAGCAACACTCCTCACCTGGACATTGATTGCCTTATCAAAATCTTCATGTTTCTTGATGAGTGCCTCCACACTGTCCAAGGAGTCTCCTTTATCTTCTGTGTTCAGGAAGGCCTCTCGGGCAGCCATCCAGTTCTCAGCTTGTTCACAGTCCCGATGAAACAGCTAGAGAGAAAAAAACTCCAGAGCATGAGAAAGACAGACCAAGGGCACCACTTTTCTTGGGGTTTTTTTTTATGCAAAGAGGGATTCTTTTTAAAAAAGCAGCAGAGCACCTGTAGTTCTAGGCATTGGTCCAGCATCATCCTGCGCTGGACCCAGGCCTTCTCCAGGTCTGTCCGTTCCTGATCTAGAATATCCAGTTTCTCCTTGATCTCTGGGCTGGCATAATGTCCATGAGCCAGAAGCTGTTGTCCAAACTGTTCAAAGGCCTGAAAAGTGCCAGCCCTTGCATCTATTTCAGTGCGGTGCTCCTGCAAGGCACAGAGGGTGTTGTTAAATAGATGGCAGAGCTGAAACTGATCTATTTTTGGAACTCTAAATGGGAAGTGTCACAAAAAGAAGCATTTGTTGATGTTTATTATGCACATTTATCTTGCACACACCTGGTGTCTTTCCAATAAAGCTTCAGCTCCGGTCACATCCTTTGCAAGTTCATCTGAGGAGACCAGGCCCCGGATTCCATTGATCCAAGACATAAGGTCCCTGTGAACACACATCAATAGAGATTATTTTTCCCTCTTTCC